ATCTGACATGTCATTACCAAACACTTTTCCCCAGTCTGTGGCTTCCCTTTTTACCCTGTTGGAGAAGTTTTTGGATGTGCATAGGGATTTGATTCTTAGATGGTCCCATTCATCTATTTTATCTTCTCCTGGTTGTAGATGTTCCATACCTTCTTAACAAATACCCAGTTTTCGTCTACGTTCATACTTCTCATATTCTACATTCCAGTCATTACTTTCTGCTCACAACTGTTCCTCCTTCTTGGTGTTTCCAAATTTGAGGGCTCAGCCTCATATGACATATCTGCTAGTTTACTTTAAGTGTGTTCTGTTGTACATAGGGTTTTCAAAGGCCTGTTTTTTGGGACGTGAATAGTCAGTCCTTCTTCCTAGTCTGTCTAAATTTGGATGCTAAGCTTTAGAACAATATCTAACAGATAAGTATTTTACTGAAAGGAGCAGATGAAAAACACTCCCCATTAGAGAAGCAACCAATAGCTTCAGTGTGGTCCACAGCATATCACACACACATACACGTACGTGTTTTATCCCATCCCTTTCCCCACTCCACCAGCATCCTCCCCACCCCTGCCTACCACAGCCAGCACCTCCCTCCCCACAGCCAACCCTTGATATGATAGCTTAGGTATCAAGTTACTTCCATGATGACCCACATCTTGTGCTGCTGCTAGGCACTCATACTTCTGCCAGTCTCTTCATCAGTTGGAACTACGCTGAAATAGAGTTTTGTTTATTTATGTCTGTTTTTGCAGAAAATGTAAACAGTCATTCAGTCTCATTAACTCTTTGTCCAGGCTAATTGAAATTGTGAGGTTATGATTATAGCATAGTTGCCGAACTATTTCTACCATGGAGTAGACACACTAAACTATGCCATAGCTCCACACTTTCCATAGTATTGTGATTATAGTAATCTCTTGCGTGGTGGAAACATAAATAGAATTCTTGACCAGTGCTTCCATCATGCAGTGTTTGCTACTTTCTACACTTTTTTTTCTTTGAAATAGAAAATTCAAATATTTGTGTATCTTGAAGTCTAATGTTGTGTGTTCTTATAGAAAGATCATATTCCAGCACTTTTGGGAATGGCAACAGCCTATATGATTTTGAAACAGACTCCAAGAGCCAGAAACCAGCTGAAGCGAATTGCAAAGATGAACTGGAATGCTATTGATGCCGAGGAGTTTGAGAAGAGTTGGTTACTACTCGCTGATATATACATTCAGTCAGCAAAATATGACATGGCTGAGGAGCTGTTAAAACGGTGCCTGCGTCATAATAGGGTAGGTAGTTGAAGAGAAAAAGGATTATTTTTTAACCTTTGTTGGGCTTTTTAGAATAGAATATTGTATTTATCTATTCCCAAGGATTCCTGTTTTTTTTTTAATGAAATAATTTCTCATACATAATCCGGAAATAGGGACTAATAAGAGGTTTGTCCTTCAGAATAAAGAGAGGGGGAACGATTGATGAAATTTCAAGTATCAGCTGTGACAATGTCCTCCTTACCAAAAGTGTTCTTGGAATGTTAAGCATTTGCCTGTGATTAGCCTTCTCATTCTAGAACTAATGAAAATTGCTGAAGAACATTAATTGCGGACATCTGTCCCTCTTATTAAGACATATTCTTGATGAATTTAATGCAGCTTCATGTCATTTTCATTTTGTGGAGAAATCTTTTTATCTTTGATTTGGTTTATTTAATAAAGTCTTTTTCTTTAGGTATGAAGTTGAAAATGTCAACTGAGAGTATAAAGAGGGTTTTTTTCTGAACACTTTTGATGTTTAATCACAAAAAAAGACATCTTCTTATAATAGTTTCTTATGAATTGATGTTGTTTATTGAGAAATAATTTATTTGCCTCAGAAACTTGAGGATATTTCTCTGTACAGATTAATACCAATTCAAAATCTTTATCACAATGTATCGGTATTTTACTTTCTTGGCCAGATTAGATTATAAAATTTAGATTGCATTTCATTTGTTTTTAAGGTGAGTTTGGTTATTTAACACTAAAAGCTGTTTTGTTGTGTGTTACTGAGTTGGAAATGCTGACCCTCCAGCACCTTGTCAGTGGCAATAAATTGCATGGGAGGACATGGCTTGTATGTCTCCCTTAAAAAAGCTGGTGGATTTGAACCACATACCTTTGGTATTGCTGTGCAGCATCTTACCCTAGGCCACCAAAGCTATTTTAATGACCTTCAAAACCTAAGACATTGGGTCATTTTTTAATTAATTTCTACAATATTCTAAATTATCAACTACAAGTAATTTTAAGTTGGCCTTGAAAAACGGAATAATCTTTAATACACTTTGAAAAATCTCAGCTACCAAAGAATTGCTGACCCATGCATGACGGTCTAGCTTAAAGAAAGATTGTATAGGTTGTGATGCAGACAGAATTTTAGTTTGCTAGAATCCTGACAGTAATAGGATGTCTGGTTGAATATCATCATGACTTCAGAGACATCCGTCCTGCTGATAGGTGCTGGAAGTGTAAGATCCAGGAATTAGTGCTTACAAACCTTGAATTATAAAATTAAAACATAAAGATTTGACTGAACCAGTCTTGGATCACAAAACATATGAGATTACCCTAGACCATTTTATACTAATTGATGAGGAAACTGAAATCAGTTCTATTAAGGACTCAAGAGCCAATCTAAAGACACTTCGTTAGACAAAATTTAACTTTCAATGAGAATAATAACTTCATGGATTTAAAGATATCTAATATATTCTAATCTATTCATCCACAAAGATCCAAAATGGAAAAAAGAATTCTGTTTGATCACCACCATTATGCTGGTGGAAAAAAATAGTGAATTTGCTATTATTCCTAAGGCAAAAGGGAAGAATTAAGTATCTTGCCAGTTTTACATGAACTATACAATTATATAATGAGATAAATTTTATAAGAAATTTTATAAATAGTATAATGAGAAAAATTTTCTCATAAATATATTTCTAAATGATAATAATGAAGAATGGTGTAGCAAATTTTTTTTCTATTCTGATAAATGACTGTATGGTAATATCTCGGAAAACTTTGGCCATTATATACTTCTTGGAAGCGACAGTGGGCCCCTAGACTGTGAGTGAGGCCATGAAAGCACCTGCTTCAGTTCAGAAATTAAAAAGGCCCTAAAAAACTCATTGTTGTTCTTGTTGTTATGTGCCATCAAATCGCTTGCGACTCATAGCGACCCTATGTACAAGAGCCCTAAACGCCATTTTAACCTGTGCCAACCTTGCCATCTTCAACGCACTTATTCCCACCACTCCAGTCACAGAATTGATCCATCTCATCGAAGGTCTTCCTTTCCTGTGCTGCCCCTCACCCTGCCAAACATGATGTCCCTCTCCAAGGACCAGTCCCTCCTTGCAATATGCCCAAAGTATGTCAGACGAAGCTTCAGAATCCTTGACTCCAAGGAGCACTCTGGCTTCACCTTCTCCAGGACAAACTTGTTTGTTCTCCTAGCAGTCCATGGTATATTCAACACTCTTCTCCAGCACCATAGCTCAAAGCCATCAATTCTCTTTCTGTCATCCCTATTCACTCTAGCTCTCCGATGCATAGCACGTAATTGTGAAGACGATAACACGGATCAGGTGCACCTTAATCTGCAGCCTGACATCGTTGCTCTTCAGTACTCTTGAGAGGTCCCTCCCAGCTGACTTTCCCAATGCAATTTGTCTCTTGATTTCTTGATATTTCAGAAAAACTCATTTGTGAAACTAAATAGTATATATTTTAATGCCATTTTAAAAAAGTAAAATTCAGAATAAACAAAATGTGCTGAATATAGTAAAGAGTTCTGGTGGTGAACTTTATTATCTGTTGCTTTCCTGACAGGTCATTGATTATGATTTGCTAGCTGCTCCTCAGAAGAAAATGAGTAGTCTCCCTCCATATAGATTTACAGCCTCAGAAATCTAATGAAGTGTCAGTATGAGTTGGAATCAATTCAAGAACAGTGAGGGGTTTTGGTTGTTGTTTATATCCAAAAGGATGGAGAATCTCCTCCCATGTGATTAACTATTGCTGATATCCTGCTAGAGAGTCAGCTGTGAGTTGGTTCCAGCTCAGCCTCACACAGTGACAACACGGCAACAATGGAGCAGAAAAGTAAAGTGATAATATATTTGAGTATGAATATCTTAAAATATCTAAATTTTAAGTTACCTACTTCATACTTTTTAAAAATTTTTTTTTCTACTTCATGCTTTTTAGAGTATTTTTATTTCTTGATCTGCCAAAAAGGAACAATTAATACATAATAATGTTTAAAGGCATATGCACATTTTCAATTTTGCCTCAGGCTCTAAGAATTTGGCTTTGCATGCACTGCTCTATAATTTTGCCTTTCTTCAAAGTAAAAATAAAATATAAACATCTATATTGTATGTTGTTATATACTACAGAGTCAGAACTGACCCTCTGGTGGGTTTTCAGAGACAGTTTAATCACATGGAAGGAGATTGTCCATCTTTCTCCCAAGGAGCAATTGGTGTTCTCGAACCACATGCCTTTGGGATTGCAAGGTACCTTCTTTCCACTAGGCCACCAGAGAACCATAGTCTTTTAATTACTTGCTATGCATCAGAAATCTGGACAGTGTCTAGGGGTGATAGAGAATTAATTGGTGCCTTTGAGCTGTGGTGCTGAGGAAGAGTATTGAATGTACTATGTACTGCTAGGTGAACAAACAAGTTCATCCTAAAGAGGAGACAGTCGGGCTGCTCCTTGGAGGCAAGAATTCTGAAGCTTAGTCTGGCATGCTTTGGGCATGTTGCAAGGAAGGACCAGTCCTTGGAGAGGGACATCATGCTTAGGAGAATGGAGGAACAGTGCAAGAGAGGAAGACCCTGGATGAGATGGATTGATTCAGTGGCTGGGATAATAGGGGCAGGTGTGTTGGAGGCAATAAGGTTGGCACAGGACAGAGCATGGTTTAGGGCTATTGTATGTAGGATCACTATGAGTCACAGGTAACTTGACAATACATAACAACAACAACATACTTAATTACAATTCTGGGTTATTTTAATGTACAAGGACATACTATGTAATTAATACCATAGAGAGAGATGCAATCAACTAAATCTAAGCAGTGAGAAATTCTTTTTTTAATTTATTATTAATTGCAATGAAAATTTACAGAGACTTTGGATT